TCGTCGAGTGAGTTGTGGTTCTATTCTGACCGTTCGCTTCACGTAGATCATATGGGTAGAGTTACATTATCCCTTCGTCATTAATGTTCTCTACTTTTAAGGCGGTTGGGAGGGAGGAGAAGGCACTAGCAATGATGCAAAGTGGCATTTCAGTTCATACCGTACGACCAGCGTGGTTTATTCGTGCGCCTTCTGTTTAGAATGCCGAAAAGGCAGTGGGCACGATGGCTAGAGGCGGGTAGTTGTCACCAACGTAACTGGTGTAAGGGCTGGGTGGGGTGTGGACAGACACTCTCTTTGAGCCCTCTCACGAATGGCGCTGGCAACAACCACCCGCCTCCAGCATTCGTGCTCGCTTTCAGGGAGCTTCAGAACTTTCTAAAGGTACCCGAAATTAAGTGCTAACAAAGCATTAAAGAGATTGAAGCAAGCCTTGGGGAAAAAAGTATTCGAATAACTTTTTCTTCCACCCATCTGGTCTTCTACTATCTCGACTAGAATCAGAAGTTCGTTTGCTTTATGCTGGAGTTCATAGTAGCATGACCTCAAACATCACTTTTCAGGGATTTGTGAAACCAAAATCAATTTCATTGTGCTTTCAGTGCGAACTACCATATGTGATGCAATGTGGAGCACTGTCGAGCTGGCCTATATGTGTTGTCGATGTGGATCGTGCTACGGTGTGTATGTCACCACCATATAGTCGTCACCGGATTTTGAAACAGAGGGCTGATGCACAGAGGGTCAGCATTATCCTCGACAGCTCCTTCCGATGCAAGCCTGTCACACTGTGAGTTCTCAGGTTTTTTTATGCATTCAGAGGTACCATGCACAATTACAATTGCGAAAGTCCGAGTCATTTGAAATCGAGAGCAGCTCGAAGGCCTAAAAAAGAGTGACGGTAAACCGTTCCCGAGAGTTTGGAGCTGATGGAAGGATCCACTCGCTGCAAAAAGAGCGCTTTCTAAATGGACAGGAACAACAACAACAGGAAGCTGGGTTACCGAGAAAAGTCCATGATGAAGGGGTGCTCATGATTAAAGCGTTCCGCGCAATTTGCGTAAGTTCTGACTTATGACAGGGCAAAGTTTGGGAGGCACATGAAACAGCAAGTGCAAGCTGTCTGCAGAACCAGCGGAATATTCATTGCATCTACTTTCTACGTCCTTGTATTTTCCGTTTGTAATCAATATAT